TACGTCAAGAGAAGAAAAGGAGGACAGTACTGTTCTCTTCATCCTTCAGCTGTGCAACACAAATATTTTTAAACAGAGAGTTAATATGTAGAAACGGCTGCTTTAAAACTTGTCTAAAGAAAATCTACATCTCTCTCGGTGTAATTGAGTAAGAAAAATACGGTGTGGGCCCTGTCTTTGTTGTCTTGCTGGATGGAACTTACCAAATGATGATGGCTTAGCAGTAAACATCAACACTGTGATTTTTACAAAATTAGAAAGCATCGTCCAGAAAAGCAGAGATCAAACTCCAAACATCACCAGATACCTCTGATAACTCACTCCTGAAATGGACATCTGCTGCTACTGAGACTCTGCTGGAGGCCCAACAATTCAGAACTGTGCTGAAAGCTTGTGCTTTCGGGTGGGAGCATGGACTAACTCTCATCAGCAACAACAAGTAGCTGTCCAAATATTGCATGATAGGCACCATTATAAGAACACGGAAAAGAGGAATGGCTTTAGTAGAGATATAAATAATGCAGACAGACACAAACACGTAGGCTGTGTGAGCTGAAAGAGGCTGCCTTTCAGGACAGAACTGAAGTTATTTGCAAAAGGGTAGAAGAATATGGATTATAAAATAAATGTTGAAATGCTGGTATTTCATAAATACGGTAAGAGTAGTTTATCTGCAAGAGGATTCAAAGACCAAAGAGAATTTCACATGCAGAAATTCTGGAACTCAACTGTGGCTTCCCCCAGTGCAAAAATTGAAAGCAGAGACTTGATTTATTTATCAATAAATCCACAGCATAATTGAACATACAGGAGAAAAGAGCATCTGAGGATAGTTGAAGAAATATTAAACTACTCCCCAATGTTTGCTGAATCTCCAGTTTTATACCAGCAAATTTCACTGTGTTGGGACACCGGTGTGTAGGGAATGGGCTCTCTCAGTGCAGGGGAGGAATCTGCCTAAAACACTCTCTTCCTTTCCTCTGTTGCTGCCTTTACACACCCTCTGAGCTTCATTCTGGGGATTCTCTGTCTCAAACCACAGACTCTGTGATGCTGGAGAAGAACATGGAAATGCTGGTCATGATGCTCAGAGAGACCCCTTTGTGTGCTCCTTTCAGCTCCAAACAAGTTCTTGCTCGTGCATCTCAAGGAATCCCTTCCTTGACTCTCTCTGGACCCCGCAAAAGCAGAGACAAGAACAGACAGAACCAAAGCTTCCCATCATTTCCAGGAGATACAATACAGGAAAGGCTCTTAGGGGATGGGTAGCAGAGTATTCCCCAATTCTGCCTTCCCCACCTTCAGCATCCCTACTCCTTCCTTGTCTAAGTTCTGTACCTCTATTAAAACACAGCTGGATCTGGAATCATCAGAGTCAGCAAAAAGACCCTGACTTGTTTTACTCACCTCTGCTCTTTGCAATCCCAGGATCCACGTTTTTGAATTTCTTTTTTGCGTTTTTTGTTGCTTGTTTGTATGGTTTTTTTCATTAAAATTAGGGTGTGTGTGCAACTACAAAACTATGCAACTACAGCACTTCAGGAACTGAGGACGGTAGGGCTGGCAAGGAGCTTAAAGGGCATTTGGTGTAAGTCCACCTCTGCTGAGGAATGCAGATCACGTATCCCCAACAAGGTTGACAGCTCTTTTATCTAATCTGTTCTTTAAAACCCCAAGTAATGGAGATTCTACAGACACCTTTGCAGCCTGTTCCAGTGTTTGCCTAGGTTTATAGTTAGAAAGATAACCTAAATCTCCTTTCTGTGAAATTAAAGCAATATTTCCTGCCCTAACCTCAGTGGATAATGGATTACTATCTTCTTTCAGTAGCTTCTTACTCACTGGAAGTCTGTTATCATACTCCCCTCAGTTGTGTACAGGAAACAAACTCAGTTTCTCCAAACTTTTCTCATAGTTTATAGGTTTCTATTTATTCCTGTTCCTGTCCAGTGGGACTGAACCTTTTATTTAAAAATATGGTATTAAGCCAGATTCTGGTTAAACTGGTAAACCTCTGGTAGTTCTGAGCACAGCAGAGTAATGATGTTTGACATGCTACAAGCAGTGCTACTGTTAGTACATTTTACAAGATTTTCTTTCTTTCAAGTACATCTCACTTCTCATTTACTGTGGATGTTATCACCTTCAGATCTTCCAGGCTTCTGCTGCCTTTTTGGTATGTGGAGATCTGGCTTCTCCAGCCTATATATAGTTCTTTTGATTTCACTTGGGTGAATGTGACCTTGTTAAATTGGAATAATTTCCCTGGTTTACCAAAAGCACTAGTTCTAATTGTGTTGCTATAGTATTTCCAGTCCCTTCCAAAATGGTGTCATTTGCAAATGTTATAATACCTAATTTATTCTTTCCAGTTATAACTTGTTCAAAGTTAGGATGAGAAATACGTGGTTTCTTTTCCATTTTCTTGAAAGCAGGTACTATATTCACCCTCCTCTAGTTTTCTGAGACTTGACCTATCCTCCACAGGTTCTGAGAGATGATAACTAATAATTATGAAATTGCACTGGTTAATTCCTTAACTGCTTTAGGGGAACAGGTCTTGCTATCTAGAATACATGCAACTTAAGTAAATCTTCTCTAATTCTTTCTCCATTCTAGTTCACACTCCACTGCCCTGTTAGAACAAAAGGATCAAGTTACAATTAACCTTTTTTGAGGAAAGACCCTGAGATAGCATTTCAGGAGTGAGCAGAATTGCTACTGCATCTTTTTGGCTCCCTTCCCCCTTCAAAGAAAATCCCACAAAGCTTGTGAGAAGGAAGAATTAGCAAAAAGTGAAGTGAGAGATACCAAAAGCTGTTGTGGCAACTTGAACTCTTCCTTATTTATCTCTGTGTTGTCTGCTAGACTTCCCTCTTTGTTCTAATTAATTGGCAAACTACTGCCAAAGTCATTCATTTCTCAAAACTTATTTATTTTGCCTCACAACATTTATTTGCACAGCACTACAGGTTGTGTAAAAGATTACTCTTTCATGGAGTTCAGAACACCCTTGCACAGCATGCATTTCTGTTCAGTCCAAAGAATACACCATATACTGAGTCTGTAACTCAAATTAATCTTATTTGGTTTTACCCTGCTTGATTATCCTTTATGTGCTTTCTTAAAGTCATATGATTTTTCCTTATTATCTTGACTATTTTAATTACTTGCTTTCTCAGTATATTTACAAGGATATTCCACAGCTCTTTTCAAAACAGTTTGTATTAACTAACTGGAATAGATTTGTTTTTACAAGAACAAATTTAAAAGAACAGAGTCTTTTTAGATCTCAACTATGTGTTTAAGTAAAAGTGAGCCAAAACCAGTAACTGCACACTCTGAAATCTGGGACATTGGAGGAAGTGTTGGCATCGTTTCAGCATGTCTGGAAGTGAACATACTCCATGTGAAGGTCTGGTTTACAGGTTATCTGGGCTGCAGCCATGCAAAGCACAGCAGGACAATACATCTGTATATTTTCGGAGAACGAGTATTGGCAGTGTTGATCTGAGCCTCCACTCAGGTTTGATCTTCAGAGCTGGCTTACAGACATAGGAAAAAACCTGCAGGACTTGAAGAGGAGTGAGCATCACCTGCAGTAAGACTGGAATCTGTAACCTTGGCAGAGGTAGAGGACACCACTACTGAGCCACTCAGACCTGGTGCAGTCAGTCTGGGGCACTCAGGGAGAACCAAAAGCCTGATCTGTCTCGGCCAGGGTGAATTAGCAATGAAGGTGGTCCCGTGCTGCCTTAAGCAGATCCTGGCAGTCATTCAAGCACTCAAGTCAGCTGCTGTGCTATCCATACCCAAACCAGCCAGGATAAGCTGTGGGAATGTGCCTGCTCACAGGCCAGGCCCATTGCAAGGGATGAGTGAGTCTCGGGAGAGGTGTGTGGTGGTGCCCCCAGAGCCAGGCAGGGCAGCACCCCCGGAGCACAGCCCAGCACAGGCTGCGGGATCCGCTCCAGGAGCTGCCCCAGCCCTGCAGCAGCAGCTTTGACCTCCAGCTGTGCTGGTAACAGCACCAGCACCAAGGAGTCTGAAGGGACTGTGGGTGCTGGGAATGCCATCTGGACTCTTGCTAGCCAGAGGAATGCACCTTCTCTATTCTGACTGTGCAGGTTTTTTCCCTGAGGACAGTGGAACAGGCCAGGGCAGAGGAGTCACAAGGGGAAGAACAAATGAAGCTGTGTTTTGGATCTTATCGTTGTTATTTAAGTGACCAGTTAAGCCAAAGCCTGTCAGTGATAGATAGGAATAACACCTGCCTGAGCTGCAAACGGGAGCCCCAGTGACTTTCCCATACACTGCAGATAAGCAGTATCTTGCTTGGTCATAGATGCACGTGTTAACACTGCTATTGCTGCTGGTGTCTAAGAGGGCAGCAGCCTCCATCTGCACATCCAACAGATGCACAGATGCTACTGGTACCTCTGCTTGCTAGATAAAGCCAGCCAGTAATATCAGCAAACTCCAAGCTAGCTTTATCTAACTAGCATGGATACCAGTGACATGAGAGGGCACACAGAGCTGCCCTCACAGATACTGGCAGTAACACTGTCAAATGCTCAGTTAAGGGTGGAGATGGCTGCTGCCAAACATTTTAAATGCAGAAAGAAAGCCAAGTTATTTATCTTATTTTATTTACAGTAATAGGGGACTGTTGAACAGCATGTAAGTGCACTACAATAAAATCGATAGGGAATATTAAAAGCAGAAATAAAGATCAGCCAACCTAAGGAAACTACTAACTTGAATGAAAGATCTAACAAGAGGGCAAACTGAACAGCTCAGGAAAACCAACCCACCAAAACAAGAGAGAACCGTTCCCAGGTTTGATTAGATAAATCCTCAGCCTTTCACTGAAACAAATTGCCCTTGACATGATGGTTTCTCTGAAGCCTTTAAAGGGATTTTTTTTCTCAGAAAATACTTGAAAAATTTTCATAATCAAAGACCTGAAAATTCATAATCTCCACTTGGTCTGTTCTCAGGTGACTATAATTTTAGAAGCTGATTCATCTGCACTGATTCTGCAGGACTGGAAGAAAAAGGGAGCATCTAACAATTTAGCAGGTTACTCTGTCCCTTCTGAGGTAATGTGAGTTTTGCCATTTGTCTTAAAATAGTGGCAGAAATTCTTGTCCCATGTAGAGGGATGTTAGATTTCTGAGTGTAGAATAATGTTTTCCTTTCAGACGTGGCTGGTGGCTGGTACTCTAAGTCGGTGTGACTGAAAGATTCCTCTTTGCTAAAGATACTCAGATTTTGAGACAAAGTTTAATGGGCAAAGCTCAAGCCTGACTAGAAAAGCTGTTATCCAGATCACTAACCCAGGCTAGACCAGTTTGTGAACGATCTATGTGATACTGTACCAAGCAATAGTTTTTAAAAAAACAAAGTTTTGTTTGCTGTAAGGCTGATTTCTGCTGGTTTGACTGGACTGCGAATGAGCTATCAAAGACAGCCACTCATTAGTGCAGGTTACAACAAAAGCCATGACTATCCTTTGCTGAAAGCCCTCTCAGCAATTGCCTGATCCTCTCAGGTTGTTTTTAAGGGCTGTGTTAAACCAGCTACCTCAGCACTTGCTGCTGTCATCGCAGCAACGGGTTAGAGACAGCACCTGGCTTGTTTCTAACCAAAGACTGGGAGGACAACAAAAAGAAGAAAACTTGCAAGCAGGTTGAAATCTTTAACCTGAAACTTTCAAAAACTGTATTTGATCCAAAACAATCCTTTTGTGTGAAAATCTGACTCCTTAAAAGTTTCAGAGCTTTCCTCAGAGGTAGAAATTTTAAATTATCATTGTTCAGTAGTGGCTGTTTTTTAACTGTCATTTCCTTCATTCTTTTCTGCCACTGAATGTCTTAAAATGAATGATCTGATGGTTCAGTTCTTTACTTTTCAATTTTTCTGTTTCACTATTAGTAATTTTTCTTGTTCTGATGCTTTTCAAAAATTTTATTCCCCTCTGGTTAAGTTAAAGGACAGAAAGAAATTTTAAAAATAACTCTGTCAGTCTCTGACTGGCAACCAAAGGGTTCCACATATTTTCAGCTGCACATTCCAATTCCACAGATCGCAAATAATTGTCCAGGTAATTGTATTGGAAGTGATTCACATTCCTATTCATAACTGCAAGGCCCAAAAAAACCCAGTGAGTAATGAAAAAGATTGTAGTCATTGCTCATACTGAGAATGGCCTGTGCAGCAGAGAAAGAGGGGTAGGAAGGGGAAAGGTCCAACGAGGAAATATTAAAAGTCAACTTCAGAAAATTTTTATTAAGACGATAAATTAATATTTGCATAAAAGAGAGAAAGTTTTAAAATATGAATACGTGAACACATTTGTGCATTTAAAGGAGATGCTTCGATTCCATATCATAGTTCACCCAAAAATTCTATATCACAGTAAGCAGTAATTATCCTGGCTTTGCATATTGTAAACCTGGTCACTGTCACTCTTTCTTTGCCTCCACATGCCTCAATGCCACATTTTCTACAATCGTGGGGAGGTTGCCTTGGCTCTCACTCAGCTGGCTCAGCTAATGCAATTCACAGGCCTTCAAATGTAAGCTTGTAAACTATTTAGTTCTTTTTCTCTCTAACAGCTTGTCTATTAACAGCTCATTGAATGGAGGAGGAAGAAGAAACTAGTGAGACCTCTCTTGGTATTGTTCAGCAGTGACCCCGGCTTTCTCAGATTGGTGGCCAATGCTCACTAAACAGCCTTTGTCAGTACATGTTGTTTTGCTGGATAATAGTATATTGTGCTCGCAGCCGTCTCTATCAGCAGCAGGTAACAATAAGCTGGGAAATAAGTCTCCCGTGTGGCATGGTAAGGTCATATGAATGATGTATAAAAATCCAAGAGAAAGCTCGTTAGGATGGTCTGTGCAGTGCAAGAAGACCTGTGCCATCTTGAGAGACCTTTGTCCACACTTCCGCTGTGCATTGTTCAGGATCCTCATCACTGCTGTGTCCTCCAGCTTGAAATGGACATAGGGAATGAGGAAGTTTTACCCCTCAATATATGCTGTATGATTTTCTGGCTGTATGTCCACTGCTCATAGCCTGTATTTCATGAAAGGTGAGTTTTGTTGAGGTAACCAGGCTCGGTAAATCCCAGGACAGATGCACCCAGAGACTGCCCACACCATGGGCCATGCCCATCACTCCTGTAGCTGTAGAAGGCTATGAGAATATGTTGCAATGAGAAATGTGATGTTGAGAGGCCTGGATCCTGCTCCAGCATTGCTGTTCCCCTGTCCCTGTGCTGAGATTCTCCGTTGCTGTGCCATGCAATGAGCCTGCTCACCCTCTGCTTTCAAATGGATTATGTAAAATCTATAGTATTTTACTACTGATGGCTGAGATTTCTTTGACTTTTCTTAGTGTTTTATATGGCAACACCAGCACCGAGTTGGTGGCCCAAACAGTGTTTAATGAAGGGAATCATGCTTGGCACAGATTTCCCCACTACCAAAACCCGACGCACTGCACTTACAGCCCGTTCTGTTACAGAAACATCGTGGCTTCAGCTTATTTTTTTGCTGCGCTAAGTGTTGCAGATCTTGTGTTATCTCTCAGACAGACTGACAAAGCGGCAGAACGGAGAAATCAGGTTTCAGAGCGAGTGATTTATGGAACACGAACTTCTCCGAGCGCGCATTGAGACTCCCCCGTGTGGCACGATGCCGATGCCGCTGCCGGCTCAGCCCGCCGGGCTGGGGCTGCCCGTGCTCCCAGCGACTAAATGCGGCCCAGAGAACACTCCCATGCTCAGAAGTGGCCGTCAGTTTGCAATTAATGTTGACCGCTAGAGCATAATGTTGTTCCGTTGTCTTTCTGCTGCAGGGGAAAAAGAAAAAAAAGAGTGTAATATTTTACTAACTGTGATGCTCTGGGAAGAATTATGAGGTCTCATATTTCTTTACTATGAATTAGTCTTAACAACTTCATTCTCAGTTTCATTTTCCCCCAACAATGTATCTCAGGATGATACCTTTAATAGATGTTAAAATCTATTTGGACATCATTAGTTATTTTAAAACTTGGCATTATAAATGCATGTGGATTAACAGAACAATTCAAGGTTCTAAACACATGTTAATTGTTCTCCTCTTTAGGTTACTTATGATAAACATTCTCGCTTTTTGTCTTAGTTGTTTTCCGTTCAGAATGGAATATTTTTACCCAATACCTCCATAAAAAATGTTAATTAAAATTTCTTCTGCTATCTATTGTATATCTTAGATATATTTTCTTTGGCATGGACCAGAGGAAGCAACTGTGTTCTTCCAAATTAAAGGGCTTGACTCTGCCCTATATTATACTGTCTCAAATCTACCTGTCAGCTGGATGAAGAGATGTTAGATTTACACCAGCACAGACAAAGGGAGAGTTTGGCCCAAAGTGTTCATTGTTCTCTGGAACTTGGCATCCTTTCTCCCATTCTCCTGAAATCAACATAAAACAGATGCTGAAATTCTAAAATGTTTTAAACCCTCCAATACTGTAGCTGTGAGCACAGTGCACTGTAACCACCAGACCTTGATGGCACAGAGATATCCATCACGAACATGAAATCTGGGTAGGGAAGATAAGGGCACAGCCTTGCCACACTCCCAAAGTAGCAAAACACTGTAGAAAGTAACAACTGCATTTTTGTGGTATTTGTTTACATCCCTCTTTGCACTGGCAAAACTTTGAGTTGGACCCCAGTGGGTGCAGTTCCAGGAAGGTGAATGTGCGGTGGAGTTGTGCCCAGCCGCAGTGGATCCGTATTTGATGACAATTGAGAAGATGAATGAAAATCGTTTCGGTTGCATTAGGGATGTAAGCTGTCAGGGATTTGGATTACTGCTTATTCAACTTTTTGGATGGCATCTTTACGCTTCCAAGAAATCCTTTTTAGACCAGGTATCAAGGGGAGACAGGATGAACTCTGGCAAGAAACTGGAGTTTGCAGACAAGTAGCTCATGCTCCTGACACTGCTGGTTTGGATGGAGAGTAAGGGACTGTAAAGTAAAACTCGAGAGAACAAAGGATACTTTGTGGTTGTGCAGTACTGCCAAATCCCAGTGGCCTGGATACATTGTTGTTGTTTATCTATTTCCATCGGTGCTCAGGGGTATGTATTGATCTGACTCGCATTCATGTCTGAGGGGTCACTGTGGGTATCTGATTTTATCCCTTTCTTTGGAGGGTTTATTAATATTGACACTTCTTCATTTAATTGGGGCACTGACTATGGAATCTCTTTTTAATGGAATCATATTAGCTAATGTACTGCCTGTCCACACTCAAATCCAGAGTGCTTTACACAAGTCCATATTTGAATAACTACTAAAAAAAAATCCCAAAACTAAAAACACAGATCTGTGAAACCAGAGAGGAATAGCAAAGACAGAACCATGCTGTAATCTGCAACCTCCATTTCTCTGTTGCAACACAGGGACCCAAAATAAAATAAGAGTTACTTGTCTCTGTAACTCACAAAAGTTATTTCTTTCCTTGTTCTATCAAGGCCATTCTTCCCCTTCTCCTCCACCCCCACCAGGGGCTGCATTAGTTTCTGGAATGTAATTAGTCACATCTGTACAAGCTATTGTAAGACATTTCCAGCTAAAAAAGGCAGCCAGAACATAGAACTTTGCACATCATCTTATTCCTGCACTCAAAGAGTGTATCTCCGAATGAATATGGGTATGGCAAATGTTCCTCTTTAACTTTCTCTTCTTTCCTTAAACAGATTTGGAGTCTGGTTCTACCATTTATAGAACAGATTTTTTTCCCCTTAAAGTGCCCTCCTGGGATTGACTAGAAAGTGTTTTTTGCAGTCTGCTTGATTAGTCTTCATTGTGGAGCAATTTCAGGGGCCTGGCTTTGGACACCATTTGCAATGGGTTTATAGCAGAAGGTCATGTCTTGTTACAGAGCCATTATTGCCTCTCCCCTTGGGACCATTGCACACCTGTGACTTTACCCTTCACCAGTAGCTTCTGACACATCTTTTCGACATCCATGCAGGAGGGCAGGAGCATATTGCACTAACTCCTTTGGCAGAAAGCACCAGTGGAGTGAAAGAGGGGAAAGGAACAGCAGAAATTCCACCTACAATAAATTTATTCATTCTCACCAATTTATTCAGAGGAGAAAAGATGGGAGTCTGATGTTTGTCTTGTAATGCATGAGGGCTTTAAAAGAGTAGGTATTTCATTGTGATACTGGCTTTCCAGAGTCCTCTGGAAGTCAAGGGGTCTGGAAGTTGAGTTTATTAGAGACAACAAGATTGCTCATTTTAACTGTGTCTATAATTTGTCTAGATCCAGCACACCACACCCCCTCTACTCCCTACAACAGCTTATATTCAGGCTGAGTTCATGCTGCCTGCAAACCTTGCCTGTCCTTGAGTCAACTTTACTGTGTAGAAAAAGCCTGACAGTTGCAGTTATCTCCCTGGCAAGCTGCATGATAGTGTAAAAACATCGAGCATGGGTAGAGCCTTCCCACTCAAAAGCATTTCTACACTTCTGCAACTGATGATCCCAAGACTTTCATTGAACTCAAATAATATTTTGAAACATATAAACAATATTTTCACCAACAGTGGAAGTTCAGAAGTCTATTGTCTCAGTTTCCACCTTAAATTCTGCAAAGACAGTATATTCCTGGTGAGTTACTGAGCTGGTAGCAGACAAGCAGGACAGTAAACTGGGTCTCTCATGCTTATCCCTCAGCTCCAGTCATTAACACCTTTGCTCTGCTCACTGCTGCACTGAGAATAGATTTTTTTTTCTTCTCTTCTTTTAACAGGAGTGGATTTGTGAATTAGACACACACACATATCTCTGGCAAGGTCGTACCACAGGATTCTGAATTACAGTTGCTTTTGAAAGAGAGAAACACGTTTCTGATCATTCTGACCCTCCACCAGGCCCAACACACACTTCTACAAACACAACCATTTTGAGGCCATTTTGGGAGACAAAAGAGCTGTTTGACTTCAAAACTAAGATGAAGCTTTCAAGTAGGTATCCCAGCATGTGACCAAGTTTCTGTTCCGAATGATTTAGCCTAAGGCTACCCTAAGGTGGTGATTCCTCTTTTAGACCACAAAGAAATAAATGTATTGGTCTTCCAAAAGAACCCTGTGCAAAACCCTACGGGACACTGCCCAGCCAGGACATCTCAGAGTATCATTCAAGTCAGTGCTCATTCCTGTAATGCTGGTAGAGCTGCAGATGGGCAGTTTATAATACTTGCAGTAATCTCTGACCACAGCATATGACTTCACCCAGAGTTTGCATCACCCATCGACATTTTTCATACCTTTTGCTCTGCCTGCACCTCTGAGTTCATCTATTTTTATGTCTTCATAAATCAAACAACACGGCTCTTTGCTGTGATTATATTGAAATAAAGCCCTCTTTTTTTTATCACAGTACTTTGCTTGCCCTCCACCTCTGGTTCTCAGCAGGTTCTCAGATGCCTTGTTTAGGCTTTCAAAGCCTCACAGCATACTCTGAGAAGAAGGTATCTGTCCTGAGGCTACAAGATACTAACTCTGCAATAATACAGTAGGTGAAACTACAAGTTCAGCATCCTTTTGAAACTTTCTGTGTAGAGCTGAAGAGGAACTAGGGCTGCTGAATTAACCTGGAAGTTTATACATCACATTACTTGTAATCTGGACTGTAGCTGCCTCTTGGTACTTCATGTTGAATTATCCTTTCAGGGCTAGATCCTCACCTGGTATTTTCCCCACAGTTTAACCATTCCAGTGAGGTTGGCTGGCCATAAATCAGTGAAAACTCATCCCTTTCTTTCTAAACACACACACAAAAAAGTGCAACTTTCTATAGCTAATTTTTTTCTTTGATTTTTATTTCTGCAATCCTTTATATAGTCATTATAGATGTTAAGAAGCCTGTTTTGGAAATGATTAATGCTATTAATAATTTTCTAATTCGATAAAACCTCTCATCTTTGAACTCCTTGCAATATTTTTCTGCTTTCTTCAGCTTTTCACTAATTCAAACATATGACAAATACGAGTCTTCGTTTCAGTTTTCTCTTATTTCTCATGTCTGATCAAATAAATTAACAGACTTTCATTTCTTTCCCAGGAGTGATGCCCATATGTTGATGAAAGTAGTATAAAAATATTACCTGTTCAAACAGGAGGGGGGAAAAAAAGAGACAGAAGTTACCTTTTATTCACTGTTTCGTGCAAACCAGAGCCGCTGATCCCGTTGCTTTCTCCTTGACAGCGCCCGCTATGCTCAACGGGAAATATTGCAGGATTTGCAGAACACCCATCGGTCTGGTTTAACTGCACTGTATTATAATGTCCCTTTTCAATCTCTTCATACAGTAGCAGTTATTTTAATCACCCCACAATACTTCAGTCACTGGGAAAGACTCTGCTGTCCTACCTAATGTGCCCGCTCCCCAGTCACCCGGCACCAGCCCGGCAGAGCAGCATCCTGCTAATGCAGTTTGCTCTGTTTGGATAGTTAAAGATACATCTCCAGGCCAATTTGTACCTGTGTATTGTTGATAGACAGTGTGCCCCAGGCAGAGAGATACTGCGTGCAGGAAATGGATTCTCATTTAACCGTGCTTAATTTTGTTCCCTGGATCTCCATCATACATCTTTCCATTTCTCTGCCCACCCAAATTGCTAATGTGAAACAAAGCTGCTTCCGCCACTACAGCTCCTAAACTGATGTGTGACGATGCAATGATTGATTTCCCACTCCAGGAAAAGTGGGTCATTGTACATGTTGTACCACAGCAGGCTGAACCAAGCCGGTCGTGCTGACATTGGGGTTTTACAGATTTGTTTTAAGTTCAGACCTGAGGGGACTACTGTGGATATCCAGCCTGAACACTTCTGGGTTTTGATGGGAGCACTGCCATTCTAAAATCTTCCTTAGCAGCTTAGAGAGATCTGAAGTCATCTGTGCTCCTCAGGAGACAGTATTCTGATTATGCATTTTGTATCTTACTTGCATGTTTGCACTGAGGATGGAAAATGCAAAACTCTTCCAATTCCAAGATATGGGGGCAGTTTCAGTTTTGTCATTTTCCAGGATAGAAAACCCTAAACGAAATATATTTTTAATATAAAATGGTGCAATTAACAGCTTTTGTGAAGGATTTTGAATCACTGAGAAAAGTAGTGATGCAAACTGCTCTTTGAAAAAATCCATTGCTTTTATTCTTCTTTTGTGAGATTACTTTTCTCAAGTAATAAGAC